TATGTAAATTGTACGCTGTTGCACATATCTATACTAATATTATAAAGAGGAAAGATTTGTTATGAGAAGATTTTTGTATGTTTGTATGTTTGTAATGAATAGGCTCAAAAAGTACTGAGCCGATTTAAAAAATTCTTTCACCAATAGAATGCTACATTCTGCTGCCGAAACTATTAGCGATAGAACAAAATAATGTACAACAATATTGAAGAACATCATAATGTCTACAAAAAACTCCGCGGTAGCATATGTCCAACTATTGTAGTTATGTCACTACAACAATCCAAATTTCCAAAAATAAATAAATGTCTACCCCGTGCGAAGCCGGGACGGGCTGCTAGTCTTTTATAATTACATACATACATAACGTCTTATCTTTCTCCCATGGGAGTAGGCAGAGACTAAGGCACGCCAATTGCTAAGATTCTAACATCCTTCTTTCGTTTTATCAAGTCATCTTTTCATGTATGCTCGTCAGTAAAGAGTACTTTTAATTTGGCCCTTCCTTAATATATCGCTAATATGATCAGTATATTTATTTATTTTAACAGTCACAACGGTAGAACACCCAATTACAGTAACTGAGTATATGTCCGTCTAGGGCGTCCTCTACCGACGGTCTCATTCATATCTTCTCTTTAAACTTCTTTCGTAAATCTGCTTTCATCCATCATTGAATTGTAGAAAGTAGACGTTTACTTTATCATAGTTCAGACCAGGTTCTAGTTTTATTCTGCTAAGTGATGAGTTAACGTTACCATTGATTTATTAGAAGTTGGTTGAAATTATGCTTCTTATAACATCGTAGGTATCCACCGCTACAGGCCAAAGTCATAGAGTTTGTTGAATCTAATCAGTCCTGATGGTAAGCGATCAGCGCCGCCCATGAACGCTCGCAACACCAGAGGAGCACAGGTGCGTTGCCAGCGTTTTAAAATGCAATACGCTCTTTTCTGAAAGTCTTTATATTGAAATCATCATTTAAATGACTAAATAAAGCTGACGAAAAACACTGCAATTAGTCATTTTACTTTTTTAACCAGATTCATACTTTAAAGTCTTTTGGCCGCGAATAAATCTGATCCTTTCGGCCATTGTATTTTATTTTTTCTTTTATTCGGTTGAAGCCATTTGAAACAAGAGCTCAACAGTAAAAACCAGTGAAAAAATGCTGACTGGCATGCGAAACTTGGCAAAAGTCCAGACATTCTTTTTTTTTCAAAAAAGAGAACATCTCAAATTATAAACAGTTGAATAAAACCTCTTTCTAGTCTAGTGTTTTATTCCATAGTTTTAGTTTGAGAGCAAGTTTGGAATAAATCCATTGTCAAAACATAAATAGATAATGAAAGACTTTTTAAAAGTTTTTTTCTCAGTAGTAGCATGGAGTCGGAAATTGTGCCCGGTACATGACTCATCCCCTATTACATGGGACTTATTACATAAATAGTGAAAAGTGGGTGGAACATTGTACAATGGCATAATGTGCACCTCTGCCTATCCCTTCGGGGATAAAAGGCGTGATGTTATGTACTGAAAGGCTACTCAATGTTGAGTTGTATTTAAATTTCGTGCCATCTCTGTCATTTTATAAACAAGTTGTAGTGACAGAACTATACTTGAGCGCGACTTAAATTTAAGTAGCGTTTCAGTATTCGACCATTAGACTATTTATCGATCCATGAAAACAATAGAATTCCATTTTCACTTCTTCTTTGTTAATATAAAGCAAAATAACCTACCTACCTGGTATTAAAAAAAACAAGGTAACTGACGCTACATCATCTCCACCGTCACCAACAACAATAGACGTATATGATCATACACAGCTTAATAATATTTATCTGTGTGTGTATAGTGTCTCCATCCCGACTCATCACGTCGGTGTTGTTAGTGCCGATCAAGGCACTACACATTTGACAGAAATCGGGCTGTAGTTTTAAAACTTTTTTTAAGTGGTTTTTAAACATGTAAGTGTTCATAATGGGTACCTTACTTTCCATTACTGTAGAATAACGTACAGAAAACAGATAAAACTACTAGTCCGTCATGTAGGTAAATTCCTCTATTCCTTGGGAAATACAAAAGAGGTTTTTCCAAAAACCCCCATCGTAACGCGAAATACAAAAGAGGATTTTCCAAAAACCCCCATCGAAACGCGAAAATACGTTTAAGCACATTAAAAGTCGCGGAAAAGTAGGTATTATACGCACACGTATTTTTATTCTATCCATTTCCGAAATACGTTTGCTATCTAAACGGAAAACCGGGAAAAAACGTGTCCGAAAAAGATTTAAAAAAAGTGTCCAGTCTCGCTTTAGTAACTCTTGAGTAAAAACGAATAAATGACCGCATTCGATCTGATTACACCGAATTCATTTCCCGCGTCGAGTGCTACGAATTCATTTTGCATTTAATTTTAATATAGACACGACGCTTGGAATCTCCTAATGGGTAGTTATATATACAGTACTCTTTTTATTGTTTTCTGTATAATATAGGTACTTGTGGATATTAATCCATATCGCGTCGTATAACGTACAACACAGTGAGCAATTTTTCCGACGGATTTTAAAATATTTTATTCTTCCATCTATGATTCACACTTATTAGATACGAAAAAGGCTCTATTCTCAAAATACATTTTATTTAATAATACATTTATGGTCTAATTTTCTAAAGTAGATAATTTTGAGTAACATTTTTTTCTAATAATATCAGTTAGTATGTTTTTGTGTGCCATCGTCATCCCTATTCTCAATATTGTTCAAGATTCAGAAATTGCTTATTCCCGCACAGATACGAAGTAACTTCTACATTTGTAGCGTAAATGCAAGTTTGGCTCCGTTCCTAAATAGTTTTAGATAACTTTAGATATTGTGGAGAGACTACTAGTCACTTCATTAGCTAAATTTACTCTCTCTGCTTGTTAATTTTGTTATTTATACATAAGTACTTTCAATGTAACTGCTAAAATAATAAAGGGTAATTTGATTAAACTCAACACTACAACACTTGCGTTGTGTTTCGTCGTGTAAGTGATGCTACCGGAGGCCCAATGACATCAATGATAGACGGATAAAAACAAGAGAGATTATTTTTATAATATAGGATATAATATAGGATTTACTCCTAGATATCGTGGGGGCGTTTACAAATATACAAGTTCACATATACATGACACCTAGACCCAGAACACACAATGAGTGATTCCGTGCGGGAATCAAACCCGCGACACGTTGGCGCGGCAGCCAGTTGTCCAGCCACTGCGCCAACCGTGCCGTCTAAAGCTCTACTAGTTTCGAACCACGGAGGGTTCTTGCTCATGAGCGGCATGCGCGGTCGCGGCGATGTCACGCAAAACCTACCTACCTAGACAGATTCTTTTTAACCAACTTCTTAAAAGATAGATTTCACAATTAGACGTATATTATGTCGTTGTTGTTTTTTATGTTTGTACATGGATAACTACGTAGGTTGTTTATTTAAACTATTGTTAAAGAAGTTTTCACGGCGGAGCGTATTTATAGTACCTTATTATGTTCCGAAGATAATCAGGTAGGAGACTGGAGATCATAGGCAACTTCGTTTCTTAAAAATCAGAGACCAACAACAATAAATCCTATGCTTTTATTGCAAGTGACCCTTTAAACATAATAATATGTCTAGGTATAAAATATTCCTGAAAGAAATCAAAACAGGGTGACTATATAACAGAAACAGAATTCATTTTGGGAAAATAAAATCTATCTATCTATCTATCTATATATATCTATTTGTATGTTGTACAGGCTAATCATCGGAACTAGCGAAAGGACTATAATGAAACCATATTTGGCGAGTTTAACGTTTTAGATAAAGCAATAACAGACTATCATCTGTAATTTCATTATGATGGATAAAAAATATTGTTTTCAGTTCACGTAAAAGGTTATATAAACATAAGGTTCAATTTGTTCAGGCCTTATTCGATTTGTGTGGACGGACAATATTTTTTCATGAAATAATATTATTTATAGCAAAGACAAAACTATTATTTTATAATAATATCCAAGGCTTTTGAATTATTAATTGAAAAATGTATTGTAATCAATATACTTAATGATAAAAAGTTATTCGAATATTTTGCTTTGCATTCAGTAGGTAGTGAAGTGCTTTCCTTGATGTTTTAAACATAATATTTTGCACAGATAATTTAATTTATATTAATGCCTGTTCATTACAATCGATATTTATAATTTTTAGATTGTCAGAATTGGAATGAAAATAGAATGTAATTTATAGTTTTTTTACAATTAATTACAACTATTTTTATTTATATTTAAACTGCTTCTGAATAGTATATTTAGGCAAAATGTCGCATATAATCTGTGGCGATGTTTTTTAAATCGTATTTTTTCATCGCAATAAAGCGCGTGCAATCATTTCAAAAATGTGCATTAGTAAATGTATGTAAAATCATCTAGTTTTATTATTTTTTAAATGTTATTGCTTATCATAATAAATCTCAATTAATTTCGGGAAAAAAATTGGAAGTTAAAATATGTATAAAAATCTCTGATGCATTAGTGTTTCATAAAAGTATCAACAAAATCTCAAGCAATAATTATTCAAAGGTCCTATCATATATGGAGAGAAGTATAGTAATAAAATATACACTCTTAACATCGATATTAATAAATAAGTATTAGTTAAGTAGTTCTTGTAGAAATAAAGTAATTTAGTTTCCCAGCCATTCATTTATGTTTCTTTTACTTGTTATAAAAAATTAAGTAAAAAATTACTTAAACTTTATCGTATTCCATTTGATTAATTAATAAATAACACGTACTCCACATTAAAGTAATTATACCACCATTCATTGTCATTAAGTACTGTTAAACCTAATGAAAAGTATTTCAATCGTAAATATTTTTTATTCCAGCTAATAACCACGAAGAAATCACCACTTAAAACAATCCAGAATAAAACTAATACAAAAAATGTCTCTTAATTCTTACCTCCAATATAAAACCTCCACCACTCACGAACAAAACAATTACACAAGAAGAAAAATAAAAAGAAAAAATTACCACACACTATATAATATTCACACGATCGACGTAAAGTTTTCCGCGTTTTCCGAAAAGGGACAAAAACTACCACTGCGCACGTCCTTCCGCGCGAAAGCTCGCGGCCAACTGACTGTATTTCCCGACTGCCAGTCTCTACTTTCACGAAATGAACTGAAACTCTCATTACTATCACACAATGACGTATACAACCCACCCTCGCAAACCATTTTGAATTCTATCCCTTTGAGATACAACAGAAAGTGGCTTTTCAGAAAAAATGTTTTCAAAGTCCTCGGCTGTTTGTTTGGGAGGGTCGCAAGGCGGGAATGAGTGTGCTGAAAAAAAATAAGCCAACCACGTCTCAGTGAGTTAAGGCTTCAGGGGCGGGTTTCCACTGAATATCTTTAATTAAAAGCTCAACTTTGCTTCGTTCGACGTTGTAATGAATTCAAGTTTTCAAGAGAAAATTCCTGAAACGATAGTGCTATGTGACTATGGGTGCTAATAGGAAAACGGAAATCTGTGGTGTTTCAGAGAAAATATCATTTGTAAAGTGGATAATAATTTTGTTAGAACATATTTCTGTTCAATGCATTTGTATTGTACAATAGATATTTCTAATATTCGTATAATGTTAATTATGAATTTACCTTGCCTAGTGCATAACGAGCTTTACATAGAAAAGTTATTGTACATGAAATATTTTCACATTAATATTTGAATGGTGAAATATGTATAATTGTTGGAATGTATTTGAATTGTTTATGCTCTGGATTATTTTATTGTAATACATAAGTATAAATTATACATAATTCTATATGAAAAATTGCTATCGGACATTGAAGACTACGTAACATATTCTTAAAGTCTCAATTTAATTGAAATGTTGTTATACGTAGATAGTATTACTATTAATATAATCAGTATATGTATCACCAAGTTCATAAGTTATAGGTGAATTTATATCATTGAAGGTTAAAAGATCAATTTATATTTATGTTAAAAAGTGATTAGACTTGTACAAAATAATAATGAAATAGGTCATTTATTTTGTTTTTTTTTTTATATATATTCTTGTTTATTTCACTGCATTTTAAAATCGAAAATCGTTTGACTCTTTGATGTTGAATATTGATTATACTAGCTATTAATATAAAAGATTTCGTGTTAATTACCTTGAGTGATAGAATTTGAATCTATTTCATTTAAATACGAATTGTCACTGATGAATGGATGATAGATTTGTAACAAATTCTGAAAGAACATACTGAATCACAAACGTAGACGTATGTTTTCAGTATGAAGCTATGAAAGCAAAATTTACAAACCAAGTCAAAAATCAAATAGAAATCTTATAATGTTATATCAGCTTAGTCCAGGAATAAAGAAAAATTCTATAGAACTTAAGCAATATTATAAATTTTTAACACAAACAAGAAAAACTATAATAACACAAAAATAACACAAAACACAACAAACCTTTTATTTTGATTAACACCAACTTTATCTGAAATCAATCTCCTGAAATCTGATTTTCAGGCTTTTGAGGACTGAAACAAGAATAAGCACTCATCTCGCTCTTTGAGAGGCGTGGTTAAATCGCGCGCATGCCCAGACATTCCATCTTATTCTTAAGAAACTTGATTTTTTGCTTCTTCCTCGATAATACATTTGATATATACAATAGTATATACTATATGTGTATATGTACTATGTTATATATATCTTGAAGGATGGAGTGTCCTTGCCTACAGCTCTTTGAAGGGCATTGCGTAACATTGGCTTCGTTTTGTACGGTTTAAGTCTAAATAGTAAAGACTCTTTAGTTTCTTGTCTAATGGAGCCTTTTAAGCTATAATGAGGGTTGTTTTGGTGAGTTCTAGACTGTTAGGTAGGTCTACAACGTCATGACGTCTAGAATACGGTCTTTGGGAAAGTCAAAATATCTATAGAGCGCTTAGGTTTCGATATTTTTTAAATTAGCTTCTATTTTGTGATTCTGGTATTTGATGTCATATTTTTTGCAACATACAAAGCGAGAAACTTCTTATTAATACAAGTTAGTAGCAGTAGTGATGATATCACATTATCGCTATCTCTATTTAACCAGCTTCTTTATTTCAGTATTAGGAACACATCGATCATATTCTGAAGTTCTTATCAGTTAGGATTTTGATTCCATTTGATTGATTAAGAAATAATACTGATACTTAATTCTAGTTCTACCCTAAAGAGGATATCAACAGTGCAACAGGAAAACAGGGTGCCATTTAAACCGTTGCCCAATATGGAGTATCTCATGATACCCACTGTTTCCTAAAAAGTTAATGATATGATAGAGTGCTAATCTTACAGAATATTTACCTTTATAATTAATATTATATATAAGAAAACATAAAAAATAAAAAGAAGGAAAGAAAACAAAAAAAATGACACTTTTGGCGAGGAAAAAATTATCCTCATCGCTAGCTACCTTGATCAAAGTTTAAGTACTGCCATACAATGTGGTAATGCTGTAGTGTACACTACAGTCTTCCTCATTGCTCCACATATTGCAATGCTTCCAGTCTTTCGGGCACCCTTCCTCGCGAATGCCATGAGAATAATTTTTTCATCGCCAAAAGTCAGATTTATCTTACTTTTTCTATTTATTTTTTGTTTTCTTATGTATAACATTAATTTATTTTTATGTTGTAAATATTTCATCGTACTTTTATTTATTATTTTAGATTAAGAATATTAACTGATA